GAGGGATTACTGATGGTTATTGTATTTTATTTATAGAGCATTATGTTGGACATTATGTTGTAAAATTGTAACATTTTAGATTGTTCTTTTAGCTTCCAACTTAAACATATTATCAGTGCTGTTTTTAAATTTTGATATAACCGTTCGTGGATCCGCGCAACTTACCCATGCAACATATAGAATGCAGTAAGCAATACAATATAAAATATTAATGTTCTCATTAAAAGAGCAACGTACAAATAAGATTACAAATAAAGAATGTAAACAAGAAAAACTAAAATGCAGCTAGGGTGTTCCATTCGTGGATCCGGTCATTATATAGCGCATCCCAACCCTCTACGCTCGCTGTGCGAATGTTGTACCACCGAGGTATAATCGGTGGCACCGGAAAATCGGTTGACATGTCTAGTCGGATGAAATGTCTGTATGACGACCCAAGAAACGCAATAGCTAGCTCTCTGACCGGTGTGGTGACAGTCTCACGCGACCGCCAAGGGAGAACCGTGGTACAAGGATAATAAGCTTGACTATGCACTCCCAGGCCGAAATGCATGACTGCGCATTTGTAAATGTTTGCAACGGCAAACAGATCTAGGGGCGCGTCAAAATAATGATTTTCGCCGCAAGGTCCACCTCCCCACCGGATACGCCGGAGAGCGCCATCCAAGTCATCCTGGTACACATGACGATAAACATTTCGGTTAGAGGCAATTTCGTTGTACATCAACTCACGCACCAAACCGTAGTTGTCTTCGCCCATTTGAAAAACATCAGCCACGACCCGGAATCCGCAGTTACCATCTCCGATTACATCATTCCACCCTTCCAAGTACGACATGATGATCGCAGGTATCCTTTCCTTGTACGGAAACTGATCAACATCGTTTCTTCCTATTCACCAAATAATTAATTACAGACAGTTAAGAAGACAAGAGTAACACTTTAAAACTATGTGCAATAAAAACAACCAAAACGTACCAGTTCTCAGGGGCATATTCACAGACGATGAAGATTGACTACGACTAGATGACGATGTCCGACCACGAGAACGACCACGACCAAGACCACGGATATACTCAAACGCACTCCTGTTCCGCCGTTGTCGACCTCGAGGACGGTCAACTCCTTCGGGTTCCTCATAATCTAAGTTAGACGGGTGGAACATGTCATGAAGCACATGAGTAACGTCACGAATAATAGAAGGATGGCTGGAGGACACTCGGTCGTACATCGAACGGAACTGCTCCAACTCTTCCTGTTCACGGTCGGCCGTTTGATTGTCTGCATGCTCACCAATAACAAGCGTCCTCCAGAATGAATGGACCTGATCAACATGTAACGACGCCCTTTCTTCTGTAATAACGCGATGAATGGTGCATGCGCAAGGTAATCCATGAGTTACTGAAATAGTACACCCACACCGAGTATACACTTCGTCAGCCAAGTCCCTCACCCTGTTCAGCTCAGTGAGAATCAACCCCAAGCAGTAGTGCGACACACGACCATGGAGAATCTTAAATATAAAATGGCTATACATCGTACCATGTCGTCGTCTGGAGTCCTCTAGAGAGTTCCTGATGTCGTTCTTCTGAGTTTCAATTGACTTGTTCAGTCTAGCGAACAGTGTATCCAAAGCAGCGGTCGATGAATCAATCTAGTCCTTGGTAGCTCTATGAGCGCTCTCAACTCTACATGTTGTAGTGTTCCCAAAATGAAGTACCTGGTTTGTCCAATATTTGACAAACTTTTCCCTATGAGGGACCCATTGATGCATCACATAGTCCACCAGTGCCGGACACCACTGGTACGAATCCCTGAAGTTAGCCAATGCTCGCTCATACGCTTCCTCTGTGGTAGCCTGTAGGATCTTCCGCCACTTACCATTCACCAATCTCTCTGCCATTTCCAAATTCTTCTTGAAAAGGTTGTAGGCTTTCACTTTCACGCAGTTGTTGATGTGCCATGTGCACAATAAGTGGTTCGATTCGGGAAACAGCTCTGCTATGGGGGCAAAGAGACCTCCCTCACAGTCGCTGACGATGGCTGCTGGATGAACATTAGGCCCGATGTAGTTTCTCAGCTTCTCCAAAACCCAATAATAACTTGGAGCCGTCTCATCCCTGATGATTGCATGACCAATCAGAAAGTTCTGGTTCGTTGGAGCCATCCCAACCATCTCAACCAGAGGGAACTTGTACTTGTTTGTCTTGTACGTTGAGTCGATCAAAATCACAAATGGCCAAGACTTGATCATATCAGCACAATCAGGATGCACAAGGAAAAGATGAGTCACCTCCGCTGTATCTTCATCAGAATCAAACCAGAACAGGTAACCACGTGATTGTGCCTGGTGTAGCAGCTGCTGTATAGGGTTCCTTCCCTCTGACCGTTCAAACCTGAGTTGCTGTCTGACGTTGTAGATGTGTCTTCGGTTTGGATGGTCTTCTGGAAATTTCTCTAACACAGATGCTAATATTTTAGCAGGCTTCACTTGAGCATCACTCATTTCTTTCACAACTAGTTTCGCAGCAGGACTTAAGCCGCTCAGTTGTCGATGACCCTCTTCATATACTATCATCTCATGGTTGTGATACCCCCATTTAGAGTAACCTATCACTTCCCAACCGTCACGACTCCGTAGTTGTCGAACCTTTACTCTGAACTCACACCCACAACCTTTCCGCTTTGTGTCAAACCGAGTGGCTGTACGAAAATCTCTTTCTTCTCTTTTGCGATAACGGTCACATCTCAAAATGCGATCCATTCTACCATCCCGTTGAGATTTATGAGTTGCTACTACCAAGCAAAATCCAGCTGCAATTGCAACCTGTTTTGCCCAATCAATCGCCTGTTGAGCTTCTTCGAATGGACCATCATGTCCAAATATCTCACTATAATCATTTCCGTCTCCACCATATTCCTGCATCAATTATATATTACAATAAATACATTTAACGGATAATACATTTAATTTCTATATTTCCACATAATTAACACAAAAAAAAACATAATTATATATAATCAAACTTAATTTTTATAAAAACCCAATTCGAATTTTCAAACTAAATTTAAAAATATACCATTTCGAATTTTCAAATTTAATTTTAAAAAAACCTATTTCGAATTTTCAAATTTAATTTACAAAAAACCCATTTCGAATTTTTTTAAAAAATCATTTTCGATTTTTTATTTTCACAAAAAAATTAAATAAAAAACAACAACAAAATCAAAAAGGAAAAAATAAAAATTAATTATTAAAGGTGGCGTCTGCCAGGGCTGCCACACCCACTGGACTGGCGCCTGGCAGGGCCGCCTCACCCAGTGGAGTGGCGTCTGCCCAGGACGCCAGTCTGGTGGTCTGGGCGTCTGGGCTGGACGCCACTCTGGTGGTCTGGGCGTCTAGCCTGGACGCCACTCTGGTGGTTCTGGCGTCCGGCTTGGACGTCCAGGCTACGGTTTGGGCGTCCACCCTAGGCGCCGGAGCCACTACGACGGTAAACCGTGAATTTTAGCGGTCACTTACCTCGTTTTCCGTCGACGACGACGTACCTCCGGCGTCCCCCGCATCTCCGGCCTGCCATCCGGTCTCCCCCGGCGAGCCAGTACGGCTCCACATTTTTTACACCGAGATTATCTCAATTTTAGCAAAAGGGCATAATGGTCAAATCATAACATATTTGTGGGCTTTATATGGTAAATTGCGGGCGATGTTTAGCGTTTCACCTTCGAATACCCAAGCCACACTCATCCACCTAGTTGCTGCCATTCACCAGTCGCAACACCAACAAAACCAAGCTGCTGCCTTGCTCCTCCACCATACACAAAAACCCCTGCCTAATTTCACCACAATAAACACCCCCGACTCCACCAGTCAACCTCCGTCTCCGTCCAGCTCACCCACACAATCCGCGAAGCCACACCAGCCTCATCACAGCAGCCACGGTACCCCGCAACACCAACAACACCTCTCGCAACTCCAATCTTCTGCAATCATTTCTTCAGCCACCCAATCCGAGCACCAACTAACACCAATTGCAGCCTGAATAGAGCGCCACCGCATAGTCACCTGCCGCACCCTATGTACCGATTTCCCTGCCTCAAACCGCCATTGTCGCCCACTACTAGCAGTCGTGAAGCAGTGGCGACACTACCAATCACCAAATCGCCAAAGCCGTATAACAAGAAACAACCACAAAATCACAGCAAATCGAATTTAGGGGAGGAAGTAGTGGTTGATATCCATTATCCTGCCGGTGGCTATGAAAGGTGGGGTGGCGGCCTGAGAGAGTGAGCGTAGAGAGAAGGGGAGGAATTTAGGGTTTTTACTTTAGTGAGAGATTGAGTAGGGTGTTTGTGTGATTATTGATTTGTTTTAGGAATATTCATTTTTTTTAAAAAAAATATATCTAATTTAAATATTTACCCATTAAATTATTGAATATCGGTTCGGATATCCGATATTTTTCGGATATCAGATATCTGAAAATTTAAAAACCAATATCCGAAATTGTATTCGATATCCGATTTTTCGGATTGGAAATCCGTTCCGAAATGAAAACTCAGATCGGATGTTCTAAAATTCGGATCGGTTGCGGATCGAATTTTAGGATTCTCAGATAGTTTTGTACAGGCCTAGAATTGTAAGCCCACTTATATTCTTTGATGAAATTTGTTAAGTGCTGGTCAAATCCATTATTTGGTTTTTTTAATAATGTTAGAATAAAAGGGTTTTTTTTTTTTTTTTTTTTTTGGAAAGATGACTATGTGGAGTGATGTTTCTAGCCCTCCCAATCCCTTTGCTAACTTTGCTAGTGGTTTCAGGTCTCAAATTGGAATGAAGATAAATCAAGTGAGAATTTATAGTAAGGTTGTGTTCACCTGATTTCCCTATTAGAACTTATTTTTCCTGAATATCTGACCTTTTTATACCTGAAATGATTGAAAATAAGGTGAGCATAACAGACCTTAAAAGTACGACTTTTTTACCAAGACATGCATGATTTTTTTTTTTTTTTTTTTTTTTGTCGAATAAAAATTACAATAAATATGATAGAGATTGAAGCTTGATTGTAAACAAATACAATATACAATAGTCTTCTTCAATCTTATTCAGACTCCACACTGAGGCAGTCAACATAATATATATATTGGACAAAAACTATCAAATTAAAGAGGTAATTTCATCAAAATCCCCAATGCAGGGCGAATTAAATCTTCCAACGCGTACTGCGTTTTCTTTGAGACTGAAACAGAAAATAAAGCTAAAACCAACTGGTGTACTGAAAATTCACATTACAACAGCAATGTCCCAGCTATGCATGCCCCTATTCACAGTCACAACTCCTTTCATGTAAGCAACTCCTCCTCACGGGCATCACAAGCTAATAGTATTATTTTTATGCAATTACGCCAGAAACTGCTCATCTTTACAGGAAATTAAACATACACCTCCAGACACAGGCCTGCTGAAAATCACATCAGTTGATTATATTTAACCACCGTGACTGAACATCATAGTCATTAAGCAATAAAAGCAAAATATGGTACCTTTAACATCCTCAAGCATGGCAAATATACAATTAATAGCCAACTTCAGTCAAGTTTCACATTAGAATACAGGAGCGTGTCTCTTGTAAGTGGCATATTGATGAGATGATACACCTGAATGAAAGTATAAACAATATGAATCTCAAGAAAATAAGAATAACAACACACTCAGACGAGTCCACATATCTCATCCTCAAATTTTCTGTATATCTCTGCATCACTTTAATCACCACAAAATAACAGACCATATATGACTTTGTGGCCATACCAGCTTTGATCATTATTATTGATACACAGTAATCAGTGCTATCCTAATATAAGAGTAAAACAAACAATCTATAGTATATTTTGTTGAATCTAACACCAGACTATTGACCCTGAAAGTCAAATGTGCCATCAGCTTTGCTATTAACTAGCATGGATAAAAATTTAATGTATCAACATAATTGTAGTCTCACCCCAATTAAGGTTGCAATGAGGAGAACAACTCCAGTGATCCATGCAAGTGTAAGTCTAACCAGTGCGACTTCTGCAGCAGCAGTTATATTGGACGAAGTTTTCACTTCCTCCAGCAGTCGTAGGGAAGGTCTTGAACCATACGTAACATCGACCATCTTTTGTGGTAGAGAAGACTGTGTCTTGCTGAAAAGGATGACTGCAACAATTTCACCTGCTCATAGCCACATTTACACAACAGTAAAAAATAAGGCCAGAATAAACTTGTAATCTTGAATTTCCTAGTCAGACAGCTGTTGAAGGTTTCCTCTTACAATTGAGCTTTTGGAAGCAGTCAAGCAGGGTAATCATGCCTTTTAGAAGTAAGTCAATATATTTGGAGTCATACTGACCCCTCCCCTCCCCCCCCCCCCCCCCCAGTAAGACAAGCAGTTGTGTGAAACTAAGGACTATGCTTTTTTTGACGCAAAACCACTACTTGCCAGGCATATAATATTTCTTTTCAGAAATTACCAAAAGAATAATACCTTCATGTCTATCTTGTAAACTGTCAATAGCTCTGGACACTGTTGAGAGCAGCAAATCCATGCCTTGCTGTGTAAGGTCTTTGGACCCATACTCTTCTTGCAGAGCCTGTAACAGAAATATAATCAGAGGATACAAATCAATGGCCAAATGCTTTAGCAACTATGAGATAAAGTTCATGCACAGCACAAAAAAACCTCAAAGAACAACAGGATGAAGAAAAAAAGGACAGAGCAGTCAGATTCACCACTTAATTATCAAACCACCCATCTTCAGCGCCAAGAAAAGAAAAGAGAGATGATATACACATAAAAAATATTCCAATAATGTTACAAAATGAAAGAAAAAGAAGCATGTTCTATACATATCTACTTTCTCTATTCCAAATTAGTTGACACGTTTTTTTTAATCACGTTTGCCAAAACATAAATTTAGCAAATATCTCTAATTATCAATAAGTAAACTATAAACGGTTAAAACCTAGAAAAAAAGTTGATAATAGAATACACATTGAGAGGAATCTAACAGCCACCAGACTATGTTTTTTCTTATCTAATAAATCACAAAAGCTAGTCAAAGTAGAGTTTGTACATAGTACCAAAAGTCAAAACGTGTCAACTAATTTGAAACGAAGGAAACATGATGCAATCTTTCGGATCCATAACAAAAACAATTAATTTGGGGGGGGGGGGGGGGGAGGAGTGTTGGTGGATATCCCTCATAAAGGGCCTTAATGGCTAACACATTTCTAAATATTTACAATGCATAAAGTTTAATACATATCAGGTCAAAAATTAAAGGCAAAATGCAAAAGAGGAAACAAAAGGCGCATTACCTTAATGCCCTCAAAATATCCTCCCACTAGTTCAGCATAATTCAAAGTACTTTGAGACAAATCTTTTGTCATTGATGTAACCCTCTTAATGTTGTCAATTAGGTAGATCAAACCAAAGGCAAATTTCCTATCAGCTAGCTGCAAAATAAATTAAAATTCTCAATCACTTAACACTTTTGAATAATTGAACATATGATTCATCACACGTTCTATTAGAATAATGGACAAAAGAATTCAAAGTAGGTACTAGATTAGAGATCATGGGAGATGACCTTTGACATTTGAAGACTCATTTTAAACCCACTAGGCAAGTTTAGGATCAATTCTCCATTTAGGGGTTCCAATTTATCTGACACATAGGAGCCACCAAAACTAAATGCCTGAAATCACAAACAGACAATAACATGCACGAATAATTATTAAATAAGTGGAAAGACTCCCCACTGACTGAAAGCATGTATTATACAAGTCAATACTAACAAAATCACTTAGTTCTTTGTCAGTTATAGCTGCGTAAGAATCATAATCCGGTCCATCCAATGAGAAAAAAGCAACTCTTCTATCTGCAAAAAGTTGTAGAGAAAAATAAAAAAGTTCCAAAGAGCTCATTAAATGCAGAATAGAAATTAAGATGTTGTAAGTGTGCATAGAAGAAGCAAGTTGCAGACAGCAATACCTGGAAGTTCAACTTCAACACTAGCAACATTCCTAACCACCTGGGTCCTGATGGCACTGCTAAACAGAGCATTGTTCGGATAAACCACTTCTTGAGAGTCTATGTAAATATAAATTAACAAAGTTAGTTATGCCATAAGAAAGAAAGTGAATCATGAAGGCAATGAAAGGGTGTAAGAACCTTGAGCAAGCCCAATTTCAAGCATAAAAACATGACGTGGCCTATCAAAGGGATTAGGCAACAGGAGGCCATTCAACTGCAAAATAACAAGCATAGTCAGAATTCAGAAAGTAATTAACCCAATGAAATACGGATCTGAATCAAAAGCATCGGACTGCAAACCTTAGATGAACTAGCAGTTGAAAGCATAGGTGGTGGTGCCAGACCAAGCAAGACTGACACTGCAGCACCAACTTCCGTGGCTGACATTGGATTAGTCTGAGAAGGCGCAACATAGTCTTAAAATCAGAAACAAATGATAAAAACCTTATTCCAAAACAGGAAGATTTATGATGGGAAAGAAGAAGGCAATCCAACAAAAAGAAAGTCAATTATACCCAAAATCTCAAACCCTAAATATACTGTGATCCCAAGTTCAGGTTAAGTAAATCACGATTGTTAGCTTAAACGATTACTAATATCAACTCAACTTGGTAGGGTGATAACTAAAATTCATGGACTTTGGGTGTGTCATCGATTGGTAATGGTATGTATAAATTAGGGGCGAACAGAATATTACGCGAAATCCCATTATTTTAGAACGAGTTGATGATCAAATAAAAGAAATCATATAGACTAATAATGATGAATATACCTTTGAAAAAAAGAGAGAGAGAATGAATATACCTGAGCAGTATGATGAGAATGAAGATAACGATGCGAAGGGCTATCGATAAAAAGCAGAGAGGAAGCATCATCAGCCTGCACAATAACACAAGCAATCAAAATCTGAATTGCAAAAAAAAAAAAAACATAATGAAATTGAGAAGAAGAGATAAAGGATGAAACCATGGATTGAAGACAGAGTATAGAAAAGATTAAGAGCAGCAGGCAAGGGCAACGGGGATCCATGATTTGGGAATAAGGATGATGCGATCGATCTGGGGTTCAACTTCACCTCTCAACTCTTTGGTATCTTCTTTCTTTGTCTCTGAGACTCTGACCCTATCAATTTATGCCAACATCCACAACTCCACAAGGAGGAATGCCGCTTATTTTTTTTTTTATTTACTTATTCCCTCCGTTTCATAATGTTAGTTCCATATACTATTTTGGGCGTTTTAAAAAGATATACCCATATTGAATATATTTCATTTATAACTTAATTTTTTTTTTTAATTAATAAAGGCTTGTTCATATTTACTTAATTTCAGTTCAGTTCAGTTCAGTTCAGCTCCAATCAGTGCAGTTCAGCTCTGCTCTTAATTTTTCTCTCTCATAAAATATTCATTTCAGCTCAATTCAATTCAGTTCAGTTCAGCTCCAATCAGTTCAGTTCAGTTTAGTTCAGCTCCAATCAGTTCAGTTTAGTTCAGTTCAGCTTATTTTAGTAAATGTGAACAAGTCCTAAGTTGTGGATTGATGACACGACTCTAAGTAAGGAAATCTTTACCTTAAATTATGCAATTTTGACTTGTGATTTCCTAATAAAAATTTTAAAAAGTTAAATAAGGTAAACTAATTATGAATTATGTTGTATTTTAATGTTAGATTCCAAATATATTTCTTTTTTTATTTTATGTAATTGATTCCATATGGGACTAACATTATGAAACGGGGGGAGTATCATAAATACTAATCCCTCCGTGTTTTTTTAAGTGACACACTTTTCATTTCCAACCGTGTTTTTATAAGTGACACACTTCCTCTTTTAGAAATTCCTTACATTTTAATAATATATCTTCACACCACTATCTCTTACTTTATCATTTCTCACTCCTTTCATGATCCACACTTCCTCTCACATTCTTTTACTTTATCATTTCTCGCTCCTCCAACCTAACCCACTAACATCTTATTTAATTAAATGAAACGCTAAACATCGCCCGCAATTTACCATATAAAGCCCACAAATATGTTATGATTTGACCATTATGCCCTTTTGCTAAAATTGAGATAATCTCGGTGTAAAAAATGTGGAGTCGTACTGGCTCGCCGGGGGAGACCGGATGGCAGGCCGGAGATGCGGGGGACGCCGGAGGTACGTCGTCGTCGACGGAAAACGAGGTAAGTGACCGCTAAAATTCACGGTTTACCGTCGTAGTGGCTCCGGCGCCTAGGGTGGACGCCCAAACCGTAGCCTGGACGTCCAAGCCGGACGCCAGAACCACCAGAGTGGCGTCCAGGCTAGACGCCCAGACCACCAGAGTGGCGTCCAGCCCAGACGCCCAGACCACCAGACTGGCGTCCTGGGCAGACGCCACTCCACTGGGTGAGGCGGCCCTGCCAGGCGCCAGTCCAGTGGGTGTGGCAGCCCTGGCAGACGCCACCTTTAATAATTAATTTTTATTTTTTCCTTTTTGATTTTGTTGTTGTTTTTTATTTAATTTTTTTGTGAAAATAAAAAATCGAAAATGATTTTTTAAAAAAATTCGAAATGGGTTTTTTGTAAATTAAATTTGAAAATTCGAAATAGGTTTTTTTAAAATTAAATTTGAAAATTCGAAGTGGTATATTTTTAAATTTAGTTTGAAAATTCGAATTGGGTTTTTATAAAAATTAAGTTTGATTATATATAATTATGTTTTTTTTTGTGTTAATTATGTGGAAATATAGAAATTAAATGTATTATCCGTTAAATGTATTTATTGTAATATATAATTGATGCAGGAATATGGTGGAGACGGAAATGATTACAGTGAGATATTTGGACATGATGGTCCATTCGAAGAAGCTCAACAGGCGATTGATTGGGCAAAACAGGTTGCAATTGCAGCTGGATTTTGCTTGGTAGTAGCAACTCATAAATCTCAACGGGATGGTAGAATGCATCGCATTTTGAGATGTGACCGTTATCGCAAAAGAGAAGAAAGAGATTTTCGTACAGCCACTCGGTTTGACACAAAGCGAAAAGGTTGTGGGTGTGAGTTCAGAGTAAAGGTTCGACAACTACGGAGTCGTGACGGTTGGGAAGTGATAGGTTACTCTAAATGGGGGTATCACAACCATGAGATGATAGTACATGAAGAGGGTCATCGACAACTGAGCGGCTTAAGTCCTGCTGCGAAACTAGTTGTGAAAGAAATGAGTGATGCTCAAGTGAAGCCTGCTAAAATATTAGCATCTGTGTTAGAGAAATTTCCAGAAGACCATCCAAACCGAAGACACATCTCGCTCGAACATCTCGCTCTCCGCCGGTGCCCTCCAGTCGCTCGAACATCTCGCTCTCCGCCGGCCAGGCCTCAGCCCATGTACGCAAAAAACTACAAGTCTTTTCCCGGGTATGACATTTCAACAACCCCGTAACTGAAGGCCTCTCCTGGTCCTCCCAAATACGGGCAGCTATGTGTCCTAGAAAGCTAGGAATCACACTCCCGTCAACAGGCCCACCGGGCACCTCACTCCTAACAACCCAAGAATCATTACCCGCCCTTGACCGTTTCCTGCTTGCCCCAGATACAGTGGACGCAGATGATGTGTCAGATCTACTAACAAACCTACCACCCCTACCCTTACGCACCTCCACCATATGCGTCTCGTACATGTCATCAACCCTCTGACTGAATGGACCGTAATCATCATACGGTCCACTGCCATCTTCCACATCCTCATCCTCATCTGCGCCCTCCTCCTGCTCCTCCTCCTGGTCACCCTCCTCAGCATCATCATCGTCATCGTCATCCTCATCCCGACGGTGGATCCGTTCTCTACGAACTGAGGCCGAAATACCACGGGATCTGACATGTCTATGCCCCGACCTCTCCACTGAATAACTTCTACTAAGAAGCTCTATATTCTTCCCCCCACCATGACGACCCTACACAAAATTTTAAAATATATAAACATACAAAAATTTATACGATAAATAATCATCATCGCAAATCAAATACACTAAAAACATACAAATAATTGTAAACAAAATATAAACGTAGAAAAAATACAACGAAATTGAAAAAATTTATAAAAATAAACAACAAAATATAAAAACAATTCAAAATTATATTACAAAAAAAAAAAATTAAAAACAATTTTTTAAAAAAATTAAAAAAAAAAAATAAAATAAAAAAAAATGGGGGGGGGGCGCCTTGGCTGGACGCCCAGCCGGCGGTGGTGGCGCCAGATGCAGACGCCGCCACCAGTTGGCTGGCGCCTGGGCTGGACGCCACAGCCACGGCTGCGGCGCCTAGACTAAACGCCACAACCGTGGCGGTGGCGTCCAGCCCAGGCGCCAGCCAACTGGTGGCGGCGTCTGCATCTGGCGCCACCACCGCCGGCTGGGCGTCCAGCCAGGGCGCCCCACCGCGTTCACGACGGTTTTCCCCCTTTTTTTTTTTTTTTTAAACAAAATATACCTTTCCTCCTTGGGACATCCTTCCCTCCGCCGCCGCCGCCACTTCCTTGCCTTGCCGCCTCGACATTGCCGTTATTTTGAAATTTTTTTTTAGAGAGGTTGAAAGAAGATGAGCAATGAGAGTGTGAGTGATGAGAGTGTGAGTGTTTTTTTTTTAAGGTCAAGGGCAATTTTGGGAAACCAAGTGAATTTTGTGGGCTTTATGTAGTAATTTGTGGGCGATGTTTAACAAATCCCTTAATTAAAGCCAATAAAATCTCCTAAAACTCTGTATCGGTCAAACTGTGTCACTTAAAAAAACACATAGGGAGTACATAAATAAAGTAAAAGTTTATTTTATTCTTACTTTTAAAAATCGTGCATCGCACGAACCAATCTAATTTATTTTTTATAGTGTGAAACGAGAAAATACAAGTCAATCAACTTGATATACAAATTTGATTTCTATGGGTCATTTCATAGAAATAGTGTTGTATACTTGGGTTTACGGTACACCCAGAAATGCACAGTACACCCAGGGCTCAATCGTCATTTTGTCGGCCTAGCTTTAATATTTCTGTCAAATTTCTTCCTCCTTTGGAATATTATTTACGTATGCCACACTTTTCCATTTCTGACAATTTCTAAATTTTTCGGTTTTTTTTTTTCGATTTTTTGTTTTAAAATTAAGATTTTTATTGTAATTTTGTTAAAATCTGGGTTACATAAGTTTTTTTTAAATGTTATTTAAGAATTTGTTGAATGTAATTTATTCATTTATTTTATGTCAAAAATTTTAATGTCCTTATTATTCAAGATTTATAATGGCTACCCAACTATTGTAGTTGGGTAATGTCCTTATTGATTGTGCTCAGTTTCTATACAATTCTACACAATACATAAAAAAAACTTTCGTTTAATTATGTTTGCTCATTCGAAAAATTACTTTTGTCTTATTTATTGTTACTTTACAATTTCTCATTTATTAAATGGTTAAATTTTATTTACTCGTTTTTTTTAAAAAAAAAAAACTTATAATTGCTCAATTTTCAAATCATTGGTTTATACTTGCTCATTTCAGAGTTTGTTAGATTATAATTGCTTACTTTTCAAATAACAGGTTTATAGTTGCTCATGTTGGAGTGATTAGATTTTATTTGCTCATTTTGAAATGGTTAGAATTTTGTTGACTCATTTATCAAATGGTTAAATTATAATTGCTCATTTTTTTTTTATAGTAAATTTGCAATTTCAGTTTTTTCAATGCAATTTGAAAAATTCATATTTATGAATTATTAAATTATTCAATGGTTAAAATAATATCTAGATTAGATTGTTGTATGGCTTTTTGAAGAGGATCATTTGTACTAGAACCAATACCTCCATTAATAAGCAACATAAGTTTTTGATTAATTTTTTTTGTTCAATTTTTGTAATTCAAAGCTTTAACAATTGTAAAATCTAAATTATTACCGAGTTAAATCTTCAATTTGAATGAAAATTTGGAAGATTTGCCAAAAAATTAGGCTTAAATTTTTTAGAAGAAGAGCGAGAATGAAGAGAAATCGAAAGCAAAAGAAAGGAGAAAAGTAAGCATGCGTGAGTCACATGTTAAATACTTAATGTAATTACAAAAATGTATCTGGGTGTACCTATAGGAAGGTACACCCAAGTGTATTGAACAAGAGTTGTCATTAAACTTTTT